TTTTTTTTTTTTTTTTTGCGGAACCGGGGATTGAACTCAGATCCTCGCATTTGCCTGTCAAGCGCTTATCCTACTGAACCATCTCCCCGGCCCTATTGCTTGTTTTTTCATGCTCTTAATGGGCTTTTGATGTCTTAGGTTTAACTACAACTGAACCCATTTATCATGATTAAATTTAGAGTTGGAACTTTTTTGTTTTCCTGAGAAGCATTTTTTCTTTCCATGGATAATTCTGCTAGTTATTGTCTAGAGTTGTCTTTTACATCTAGGTCGGCGATCCATTTTGAGTATTTTGCACAGGTAGGAGTCAGATTCATTTTCCTTTCAGTCTGCACATTCCATTGACCAACCATTATTTATTGAAATAACTTTCCTCTTTGCTTCGCAGTATCTACTTATTTGGTGTACTGCGTGAGGGGATGGGTTTGTGGCTTTTCTATTCTTTTTTTTAATCTTTGCGCCAACATTACGATGCTCTTATTAGTATGACTTCATAAAAAAAAAAAAAAAAAAAAGCATCCAATTTCGTTCTTCCCTAGAAGCGCTCGGAACCGAAACCTCAAGCTTCTGAATTTTCCTCCGGAAGAACTCAAGGCGCTACATCGGAAAACAAAACACCTTGAGGCGAGCACACCTGGTGCGCATGCGCACTCCAAAGGCTGCGATTGGACGAGTAAAGTCAGTTGGCTTTAGGTCATTTCCGAGGCGGGAGGATGAAGTTGGCTGATCATGGACTCTCAGGCAACCAGGTTTGGTTCGGGGAAGAAAGCGTCTCTGAAAGTGAGAGCTGTAGGGTCTGGCCTTGCGCTAAGGCCAGATTAGAGTAAAGCTTTGCCTGGGTGAACGGAGGGAAGCGGCAGGGAGACTGAACCGAGGCCGCGGGCTCTGAGGGGGCGCGCCTGTCCCCGGATGGCTTCCGGACTCCAGGCTTTGAAGGAAGTCCCAGCTCAGCGTAGATAAGGCGCTTAGCGCCCCGGCTCTGGTGTGTTCTGATTGGGGAGCCCCTACTTGTTTCGGAGTTCTTGGCTGGGTTTTAGTAGAAATGCGTGTAGTAATGTGGGCTAGGCGGTGTTTGCGAAAGGGTACTGGGCCCAAGGGCGCGTGTCTGTCTCGTTTCCCCAACTCTGCGTCTCTGCGTGGACGTTTTGCAGTCGTTGTAGCGTGGAGTGGTAGAGTGATGGGACTGGTGGCGCCTTAGCCTGGCCACGAGTGTTAGAAGTAGCGAAGGCGATTTGACTATTAAGAAGGTTGGGGAAAGTTGCTCTGCTGCTCCTTAGCAGTACGACTTTGAGCGAACTCTCCCCCCCCCCCCCCCCCCGTGAACGTTTTAAGCTCTTAAGAGTCAACAACTTTAGCTGTGACCCATCCTTAAGGCTGTGGTGAGGTGTGAATGAGATTGCACTTGTAACTGATTTGGCTAGTGGTTGGCATGTAATAGGTGCGCAACAAAGAATATCTATGTAATTCCCTTTCAGTTTCCAAGCCTTTGTTGGTATAGAGATTTGAGAGGTGACAGATACATCCATCTCCTCACCTTGGGGGTCTCTCATTCTGTTGTCTGTTGACCCGAACTCAAGGCTGAAACCATTCTCTTGCCTTAACCTGCTGAGTGGCTGGGACCTCAGACTTGTTACTACACCTGGATACTTTTTTTTTTTTTTTTTCTTCTGTCTCTTCTTTTCTAAGTTACACTAAGGATCAAACTAAGGCCCTCACACATGCTGGGCAAGGGCTGTATTACTAAACTGCACACCCAGCTCCTTCTAAATCCTTTTTTTGAGACAGGGTCTCGTGATGCACTTCAGGTTGACCGTGAGCTCACTTTGTAGCCCAGGCTGGTCTTGAACTCTCAATGATCCTCCTGACACAGGGAAAAAAAACTGATCTGGGTGGATGACCTCCAAATGATATAGGGGGAAAATGATCTCTCAACCTAAAAAGTATCTGGAATGAGTTCGTGTTCTCTAAAACTGAAGAATTAATTTAAGGAACAAACAGAGGTTATGAGCAGAATATATTTATTGGGAGAAAGAAAGCTCCTGTCCGAGAGGGAGATGGGAGGGGACCCCCTGAGTTGGTTGTCCCCCCTGGATACTTTTAAAGTAACTTTTGGGCTTCTTGTTCACTTGTGTATAGTGAGCATAATGCTTGCTTCTCTGAGGGGAATTGCCAAAAAATGCTTTTCACATCATCCAGCCTGCATAGGAGAGAAGGAAGAGCCAGTTTCTAGAGAAGTGGCAGGTGGAAAGGCGATATTTAGCTTGGTATTACAGAATTTGAATTAGCAAAATTCAAATTATGGGCTGGGGAGATAGCTCAGCGGCATAAGCACCTGCCTGAATTAGCAGAAAGACCTACTTTTTGGGAAGGACAGCAAGAGTGACTAACTTTTGTGAACAGCCACTAGAGTAGGTGTTTTAGATATCTTCTCATCACAACAAAGTTGTCGATATTACCATATGTTTTCAGAACAATTACAGAAGCTAACCTTGTCGATATTACCATATGTTTTCAGAACAATTACAGAAGCTAACCTATCTGCAACAGATTTATGATGGCAGGCTTTTATAGCCAAGCCTTTTGGTAAAATCTATGCTTATTTGAATACAAAAGGTTGCCTTTGGGTGGGAATTATTTTTTTGCCCCCCACCCTGGCCTGCCCTCAGGGCCGGGCTGAGCTGGCCTGTGGTGCCTGGGATCAACCATAGTCCACTGGGCCTGCCAAAGCTTGTCTAAGCAGGTGCTTTAGACTACTGGGCTATCTTGCTGCCCCGGGTGGAAATTTTAAAAAGACATTGTATTGAAAAGATTAGGGTCAGAGATATATAGCTCAGCGGTGAAGTACCTCATGGCAAGTATGAGATCCTGATTTTTTTTTTTTTTTTACCACAAATCTTTCACATATATTCTCATTTGACCCTCACAACAATCCTGTGAGGTAGGCAGCACAGATGTTTTTCTCATTTAACAGATGAGGAAAGTAAGTCTCAGAGTGGTTAACTTGCCCAGAGTTCTACAGTTAGTAAATAATTGTATTAATAACAGTCTTTGGCTTTAAAAATTCAGCACCCAGCCTCCCCTCATGTATGCCCAACTACTTCACAGGGATAATGAAGTTAAAATGAATTCAAGGCTAGAAAAATACTTCAAAGGAAAAAAGCTCTATTAATTATATAGTGTATGAACCCAGAACATTACATTACCTCTGTCTAAACTAACCAAGCAACTAAGTAGGGTAACAGTGTTACCCAACTAAGGTAGGGTAACAGTGTGATCCTGTTTAACGATACATAAATCACAATCAGGATAACTTTATTATTAAGCAAAATGAACAACACACAAAGGCTAATGAGCAGCTGGCCCCACTAAAGTACACAGTAAAGCAAGGCAACATTATCAAACAGGGCGTGATTGCATAGAAGAAAACAGTGGTGTCAGAGTTCAAACTGGCACACACATAGTTATCTAAGGCAAAGTGGTGGCAAAGAAGAGTTACTTGTTCCGCATTATATAAATAAGAGCATAAAATTCTTGGGAACCCGTGCAAAAGCATCGTGTGTCACACAGATTCCTCCAGTTGAGTACAGGGACTATAAACACTGTTATCTTTCTTGTAAAGTATGATTGTACCTGTGCTCATATCCTGAACTCACAATCAGACTAACAGAATGTCTTTTAAGGTAATGAATTAGATGGCTGTTTAGGTTTCTTCAGAATTTAGTTTGTCCCCATATTTGTCCTGCTTTAAGATCCAAAGAAAGTTGTATTGAGTTTTTATTGGTGATTCTGAGTGTATGCGTTTATAACATTTAAATGTGAGAGATGAATTTAACATATTAAAAGTTCTATAGCATCTGTTCAGAAAGGATTATATACTATACAAACTAGTGAAGTCATACAAAACCATTTTTCATTGTCTTTTCAACTGAGAAGAATCCTATTCAGCACGCTTCTCCTGAGGTGGTTCATACTGAGCAAGCTTTGCTTTCAGTTTTTTATTTTCTTCTATAGTAACTTCATATTTCTCTTTCATTTCTGCCAATTCTAGGCGAAGCAGCTCAGTTTCTGGATTTTCTGGGGTAGCAGCTCCTAAGTGATGCTTTAAAAAATCCAAGGAACTAGTAGGTTTCTCTGGTTCTTCATATAAGGTTACCAACACCTTGGTCAACATGTCTAGCACCCCCGACTTCTCCAGGTACCTCCGGAACTGCTCGTGCTTCGAGTCGGCGGCTTTGTAATGGGCCATAGTGACAGGAGCAATGGCATAGCTGGCGCCGGAGACCGTGGCCGGTGGGCCCTGGTTTCAATTCTTGGTCAAAAAAAAAAAAGAAAAAAAAGAGGGGGTCGGGGATATAGCTCAGTGGCGTAAGCATCTGCCTGGCAAGTGCAAGATCCTGAGTTTGATCCCTGGTAGGGAAAAAAAAAAAAAAAAAAAAAAAAAAGATTAAAGTAGAGTGTAGCTCAGTGCAAAGCATGTGCTTAACATGTAGGATGACCAGAGTTCCATCCCCCACCCCAAAGCTAGACTTGGTGTGCATGTGTAATCCAGCTACTCTTCAGACAACAGAATCATTGGAGGCCGGGAGTTCAGTGCTAGCCTGGGCAACATAATGAAACCTCATCTCAGAAAAGTATAGCCTGGAGACTTACCATAACATAACCAACCTATGGATGCCCCCAGCTTTCTCCCAAGATGTGGTGCTTCGGCTTTCTCCTGAGACCTATTACTGGAGCCAGTGGAGCTGGAAGTTGAAAGGGTCAAGACCATGTACTGGTCAGGTGTGACTAGTTAAGACTGACAGATGGGCTGGGGAGAGAGCTCAGTAGAATAAGCACTTGCCTGGCAAGTGCAAGGGCCTGAGTTCAATCTGCGGTTCCACAAAAAAAAGGAGAAAAAGACTGACAGACAGAGCTCTTTTCTGCTGGAATTCTCTGGGCATTTCATTCTGGTAACAACAAAAAATTTGAAAGGTGAAGAAGTTAAAAATTTTTAACAGTTAGTTGGACATGGTAGTACATACCTGTAAACCCAGAACTCTGGGAGGCTGAGATAGGAAGACCATCATTTGGTTCTATTCATCCTGGGCTACTTAGTGACTTAGCAAGACCCTGCCTCAAAAAAAATTAAAAAAAATAGGACTGGGGATGTAGATTGGGGGTGAGGCCCTGGGTTTAATCCTGGGCACTGCAAACAAGCAGACAAACTTGAGATGATTGAAGGTTATGTACTCTTAGGGTTTCTAAGCGTTTGTGTAATAAAAATTGAGGAACATAAATTATGTTCTGCTAAAAGACTTTTAGAAAACAAAATTACCTAATTTGTTAAATTTTTTTTTCTGTTGCAATGTTTGGTGGTACTCTGAGGTCACATATACAGTATTTTGTGCCAGTACACTGTTGATTCTAGGGTAGGCAAATGACCTGTCTATTCAGAGTGAAGTTGAAGACTTCAGTTCAGTAATATAGATAGCTCCAGTTCCTCTTTCTCCTCCTCTTCTATTATTATTATTATTATTATTATTATTATTAGACAGGGTCTTTCTGTGTAGTTCAGGATGGGCTTGAACTCACAGTGTAACCCAGGCTGGCCCTCTTGAACTCTATATGATCTTTTTGCCTCAGCCTCCCAAGTGCTGGGATTACAGGCATGTGCCACCATGTCTAGCCCCCAGTTATTATAAGCCATCTACTGTCAAAGAAGTCAGCCTGCAGGGCATGGCTCAAGACCAGCTTGGGCTACAAAGTGAGCTCAAGACCAGCCTGAACTGCATAGTGAGACCCTGACTCAAAAAAAAAAAAAAAAAAAAGCGCAGCAGCCAGGGTTCAATTCCCAGTGTGCTGTGCTGGCTCCGCCCCGGGTGCCATGAGATGGCAATTGGAACTCGATGTGGTGGGGCACACCTGTAATCCCAGCACTTGGGAGGCTGAAAACAGGAGGATCACTACAAGTCCAAACTGTGTAATGAGACCCTGTAGACCCTG